GCAAGAAGCCATATAATTGCAGGCTGAAAAGCCTAACATACTTACATACACTTACCACTTGCTATTGTGGTATAGGATGGATAAACAGTAGTTTACAAGCAGGCACAGTAGCCTGAACAAAACTGCAAAACTTGACTGTTTTGTAGAATAGCAAAGATGCATAAAATTGGAGGAAGGAATCGTGCCATAGTTTTTCCTTGCCAAGAATGTTCCTGCAATTACTCATTTAGGGAAAAATTTAATTGCCCTCTCACTGTACTTGCTCTTTAACATAGAGAAAGAACATAGCTGCCATTCTGATTCGTAATGAAGGGGTTTCATACATTTTATTGTACAAATAGACTGCTTTCAAAGATAAATAAGTCATATTGATGATTTACAAGCTCATTATGTCATGTAAGTTTTCTGAACAGTTTTAAGAATGTTTCTTTCTTTGAAAAGAATAGACTTCCTATCCTAAGTGAATAGATATGAACAACACAATTTTTAATTTGTTGAAGGTTGTATCACTTGTTTCATGGAAGAGTAATAATGTAGAGAGACTTTGCCTAGTTAAGAAACCCTGTGCTTCCAGCCTATGATCACACAGGATCAAGTGCAGAGTAACAAAAAGGCCTATTTAGCAGAAAACCAAACATGTACAGCATAGTGACTCAAGGAGGCATTAGTTCAGAATCCAAGTAGCTTAAATACAGCTCAAGTACAGGTTCTATGGGGAGTACTTAAAGACAATGAAAAGCTTTTTTTTTTTTTTTTTTGCTTTTTTATTAAGTCTTCTCCCATTTATTTGGAATTTTTGCTTCCAAGAAAGTAGCTGTTTAATTTTTACCTTTCATAGCTATTATGCAAATCTTGTATTTCAGTAGTTACTGTTTCACACATTTATAGATTTCATTACAATTTGCTTAACTGATCACAAGCAAATTTTGTATTAAAAAAGTCTAGGTATTTAGTTATGAAAGAAACCAGAAACAAAAGAAATTTAAAAATAGAAAAAGACATCAGTTTGCTTAGATGTCTTTGCATTTACAAATAAAACCTGTGAATAGTCCAAATGAATTTGTGCTGTTTCACAGGGGTTTTTTTTTATGCTGAGAACAGAAAGAGTGTATTACATTAAACATCTTTGGTCAGTCTCATTGACAAATCTTTATTACCGTGCAGGTCCAAGATGAAGTTTAACCAAATTTCTAAATGCTTTGGATGTTATATCAGTACTATAAGAGGATTTGCAATATAAAGAAAGATTTCTGATTATTTCACTCACTAACCTAATTATTAATCTTCAACAAACATAAAACTATGCAAGTTTGTAGTTAATGTTTGCCAATTTATGAAAAACTCGTTAGACCAACTGGTTTTGTCCTGTTTGGGTTCCTATGCATTGAGAATTAAAAGACTGCCTGTATTTAAACTAAACTGCAATGATTTGACTTTTATAGCACTACATGCACACATGTGGATGAACTTGTCACTGGAGAAGCGCAATATAATAATTTTGGCATGTTCACAACAGGTGGATATAGTCACTTCTTAAACATATACAAATTTGTTATTCAAACTTGGATGCTTAGATAGATCATAAAGTGTAATTTATGACAAAAAATGCTTCAGTTTTAGGTACAAACCTGAAAGCAAAACATCATTTGAAATAGAGTTCTTGTTTTACACTCCTCAACTAATCCAAACAAGTTATTGTTATGTATAATGAAATTTCAATGACACCGTTCACCTAGATTTGATATGACTGTTGTTCTCAAGTAAACTTCTGAAGTGCTGCAGATAAAAAAGAAAACTCCCTTATGATGTCACAACACTACGTTACTCATTAACTGATTTTTAAACCCAGTTTGAGCTGGAGTCACACCAAGACAGCACTTCCTACAGCAGAGAAAGGCTGTGTGTTTCACAGATCACCGTAGAATTGAACTTACCTAAGTCTGCAGTTAGCTCCATTAAAATGCTGAAAAAACGAAGCTCCTTGGATGATTCCGTTCCTCTTTCTGAAAGTCAGAACAGCTTCCAAAAATCAAGTAATGACACCCCAGCCAGTCCTATGGAGAGTGTTGGATCAGTATTTATAAGGTAAAACCCAATATATTTGAGTGTTTTTCATGCACTTGATGATGGGGGGAACAACAGAGAAGTGCACTGGGACAATTGCACTAATGAAAATACCTAGATAAGGTATTTCATATAGAAAGGAAATGCACACAGAGATGGTAATTTCATGTATTTTACTGATTGCACTGGGAAGGGGAGCAGTACTGTAAAGGAGAAACTTGTGACGGAAGGCAGAAGGGTATTGTTCTCTTCTCCCTTATCTATTCACACTGAAATAGAGCTTTGAATGTCTATAACACTATATACTAACAAAACTCAAGTTTTAAAGTGACATCTATGGGTTCACCCAAATATGTATAATATTTGATCTCTGTACAAAACAAATGTAAACTTTGTTAGATCAGGGAGTTTAACAAAATATTTTCATATGTGTTTTGGCCTAAAGGAACCTCATAATGTTTATTAAACTAATTTTCAAGGTAAGTGCCACCTTACTCACTAGAAATACTCAAGGAAGTAGAAAACTTGCTAAATGAATACTAGTAAAGGGTTTCCTGATAGAACATTGCAAAAAAAAAAAATTAGGGGAAAATCTGTTTTCCTACTTTGAAAGGGTGGACTTGTTGAATTGCAAATCCCCTCTATGGTGGAATTTATTGCAACACAGAGTTCTGGAGAAATCATGTACATTTTAGCACAAAAAATGAGGGAAGGCAATATCAGAGGGCTACTGGCACTCAGTGCTTATCCTTCTTCATCTACTGCAGGAGCAAGACAAGCAAACATCCACAGTACTTCTGTCAACCCATCATGAATAAAATAGCCTAAAAAGCTATTCAAAATATCATTAGACATTTATTGGTGCTTAATCTGCTTGAAAATTCTTTGCCAAGGGCTGGTCCTTAATTGTTGCATGGTGCCAAACAACCCTGAAGAGTGATTTGGAACCTCTACATAGTCTTTGTGTGGCTGAATTGCATTTCTTTGTGGCTGTGCACAAATTCTTTATATGGGGTGACAGATCTTATCACTAATTGGGTCACTACTATAAAAGAGACTGTTGGCCTAATTTTTCTCTTTTGAAATATTATTAGGGATTTTTAATATTATATATGCATATCATCCTTTCTTCCAACTCAAATGACAGAGAGATAATGTCTAACAGTTTGAACAGATAATAGAGAATCGGAAATTTTAAGTTTTAATTAGAGATTTCAAAGACTCTTATCTAGAAATAATAACTTCAAGCTTGTTTTAAAAAAAAAAAAATTCACATGACTTTTCATATGCCTCTTGATCTCATTTTGCAATTAGGTGTGGGACATAAGTATATACAGTGGTATTTGGCATTAAAAATCACAAGTTAGTGATTTTTAACCACTTCCTAATTTGGAAAATATAAATTTTCCGTGCCCTGTCCGGAACACTTAGCAGACAGATATATCTACTTTTTTATTTACCACTAAGTAACCAGTACACAAAATGTTGCCATATATGCTCTAGGGGCAATGTGACCAGGCCTTACAAAGAACAGGTCCTTTACCCCCAATTTCTCAATAATCAACCTGCCTGCCAAGCATCGAGTGATTGGAGCAGGCCTTCTAGAAAACCAGTTTACTCAGCTGCTGGTTCAGTAAGGATAATATGATCATAAAACCCTGCTGTGAAACCAAACCTCTCTCAATAGCAAAGATGGAGTAGCAGGCTGCAAATATTAGACAATCTAATAAGGAGGATGCACAATAGCACACAATAAGCTAGACAGACTGAGCTCTCACCAAACTTGCTTTTCATGTGTTTGTCACAGTCATGATACATTTATTGAAAATGAGCCCCATGAAAAATCACGGAAATTGCTTTTGTAAAAAGTAAATGCAGGCTCTGCATTTTTAGGTACTATTTTCATACAGTCTTATTTATTTGGAGCATATTTTCTATATATGAAGATTCACCCACAAAGAAAATTTACTATATTAATGATCCTTCTTGTTCATTCTAATTATTCATGCCTGAGGAGAAAAACTGACTATATGCCTAAGTTTTTACATACATCTGTTTTCACCTCACTGTAATTGGCACATGGATGATTAGGAATTTAGCAGAAATCAGGGACTTATTAACATTGCATAAAGGAGAAAGTTTATCATTATGGCAGCATGTTATTCCTGACATAGAGCAAAACTGATTTCAAAAGGAAATTCAGACTCTGGAGCTAAAGCTGAGGTGTCAGCCATACATTATCAATCAGAAATTTGTATTTATAAAAGTACTGGCCAAATGTTTTGTAGCATTTTTTCAGCATGAATGTATAGAGTTGTTCTAACATCAGAACAAAATATGGGCTAAAAAATCAGGGATCTCAAGCTCCCATCTGGAGCCCATCCCTATGATATGAGTATCCAGTTCCCCTAAAATTTAGAAAAATCTTAAGGCTTTGATTTTGAATAATCTCCTGAGTGACCCTAAAAAAAAAAAAAAAAAAAAAAAAAAAAATTAAACATATTGAACACGAGAAAATTTGGTTTTTAGACCAGAAATTTAGACCACCAATTCTGTGAAGTCATAATGTTACGTATGTTTAGGCCAATCTTAGCAATAATTGCATATTGCAGGTAATATATTAAATGCTTTAAAAAATCAGCATTTGGCAGTAACATTGATATTAGGTGAAAGTTACAAACAATTTTTTTTTAATTACAGAACAATGTTTTTAAAATTACAGAACATAGAGAGGTTTGTTTTCTAAATATCTCATCAAAATGGAAATCAAAAGGGTTCTTGACTCCAGTCCTGACCTGGCAGCTCATTTGGGGCACTACAATACACAAATACAGTAAATACAGCACTCACATTTTGCATCTGTGATCTGGCATTAATATTTAGCTATCTTTTGCTTACAAAAAAATAACGGAAAAACTCTGTAACAGCCAGTAACATAAACTTTAAAGATGGTTTAATTACAGACAGGTTTTTGTTTGAACACAAAAAAAGGAACCTTACATCCAGATTTTCTCTATGAAGAGTTTTTGACAGAAAGCTTTTATAAAGGAAATCCTGCATGGAAATTATACCCCTCAGAATCTTCCAGTGTAATGCTGTAAGACTGAGGCTTAGCTCAGACTAATTTAAGAAGTCATGTTAAAAAGATAGGCACACATACCACCTTCTAAAAGGCAGGTTGTTTTTATAGCTCAATTATGAGCACCTGAAACACTGGCAACCACCTTACTGCTCAATGGCTTGCATTTCGGCTTTGGCATTCAACCTTACTGGCTTGACTATGAAGACATATTTGCACTTGTTTTGGTTTCTTTTTCCCCCAGAGTAACATAACTCCTAGTTCTAAATGAGATAGAACAATAACTGTATAAGCACAGTCAAATAGCTTATTATTCAAAACCTCATCTGATATAAAGACTGTGAGAAAACTGATAGTATGATTAATTCTTTCACATTATCTTGTATTCCTTCCTTTTTTATAACCTTCCTTTTCTAAAGTTAAGAACAAACTTTTCCTAACCTTCTGGAAAGTCTGAGCACTCTATTTTCTTGTGGAAGATTAAATTTATACTCAAACAAGACAGTTTTCTTTTTTTACATACTTAATGTGCCATACTGCTGCACTTCAGAGACTGCCAGATGACTAAAGGTCTTTTTCAACAAAATTATCACCATATTTACACATGTCATGAATGTTTGCATGCACTCAGGTATATGTGGTTCCAAAAAGGACCCACATATATTCCATTATTGAGTAATTATATATATGCATGCGCCTTGTTCAATAGATACACATCATCTGCTTGATAACGTAAACATACAGCTGTATTTGGATTGAAATTTTTGTCCAAGTCACCTGTATACAGAGATGTCACATTTGGATACTGTCCAGGATTTCCTTGGACATTTATAATCAGAGGATGACAAACCAAGCTAATGTGACTCACCAGAGTAGAATAAGCAATACTTACATTTAGCTTTTTTAGCACAGCTGGACAATATATTAACACAGAACATATATATTTTTTATTAAAAATGGAAATATCTTCTTTAAATTATAAATTGAGAAAGCGGATTTTGCTGCCATGAGATTTCATACAATCATTTTAAATTATAAGATCTAGGCATCACAATATTCTAATATGTTAGCATTGCCATTCATGAGGCATCTAGGCCAATATACTGCATGAAAATATGCCATAACTGCTCTTTATTTTTTTATCATTAGCTAAAAGGATACAGTGACATATTTTTCAGTAAAGTGCCAACTGGCTGAGTGCTTTCTCACAGCTGGTAAAACCAAACCATTAACACATCACAAGGTTGCTTTTTCCAGTATGTAAGAGAGTTGCCATGAAGAATTTGGAGCGAGATGAACGTGCCTTTATTCCAAAAGTTATACTGTGTTTTTCCATTAACCCTCCATCCCATACTGTTCTTTTGATCACCAAGGCACAGTAAGACAGTGGTGAGGCTCACAGCATGTAGTGTGTCTTCTGTGACTCTACACGGGTCATTTTGAAAGTCATTGGTCCTAAAATGGCAGTAAATGTACTGATGAGTACCTGTGCAAAGTGTTACATGCTCACTGAGAGGTGGGCTGACAACCTATAACTGATACTCCAGAAGTTTCGTGTGGCAGTCTCTCACCTTTGTCCTACTGGGTATTACAGCATGAGTGTAGCACAGTCCCATTCACCCAGTTGTTTCAGCATGGAGCCACAAGGAACAGTCCCGGCATTCTCCACCATTTGTGATAAGTTCTCAGCTTTCAGCCCAGCTTACTTCATTTGCCCCATGCACTGCCCTGTCCAAAGTGGGGTTCAACCAATACAGTAATCCAGGCTATCTTAAACAAAAAAATAGGAAGAGATAGTCAAATAAGACTTCCAGTAAACAGCTCAGAAGAAAAATATTACCTGAGATGGGTACTATACTACTATACTACTATAAAGTAGTCTCAAACTTCTAAAAGCAAATAAATTATTAAATTCTTAATCCAGGCAAGGAACAAGACTCAACTGGCCAAAACTGCTTTTCATTCATTACAAAATCACATCATTCACTGTTTTCTGGCCCTAGTTATCGTGTCCACAGACTATTTTGGACCTTGGCTTCACCTGTTTTGAGCATACTTCAGGTAAACTGAGTAACTTGAAAAGGGTTTTGAACATTCCTGCTTGAGTCAGGAGTATCATTAACTCCAGCTCAAATTAGGTATGGCTTTGTCTAGCTGGGTCTTGTACCCTCCAAAGACAGAGTCTATAGCCTCTCTGGGCAACTTCTTCCAATGCTTCCACCTTTTTAAGTCTAGCTGTTTTGGGGTTTTTTGTAGTGTGCATCTCACAAGCTGGCTTCACTCTGATTTGTGGATAACTTGTGTGTATTATAGAAATTAGAATCTTTTCCCTGTTCCAACATCTTTCCAAGTGTCTATTAGTTTGTGTCTCATACTATCAGAGCTCATATTTCTATAGTATCTAACATAAGACTGCTTTACTATCACATTTCAACTATAAGGACTTAGCAGGTCTTTCAACACTTAATGGCTTCCAAGACATTTGCATAGCCTTCACAGAATCCTACCAATGCAGAATATCACAAAGAAAACTGAAGACAAGACATATACAATGACCTATTAGGCAAAAGTACCTGTGTTCAGGCACTATTGAAGCTGTGTCTCTTAATATATTTTTACACCTGCAAAGAAATACAGAAGAACTCTCTACTGAAGAGAAATGTGCTCAAAGTACACAAAATACTTGTAACCACTTTACTCACTTTCTGCTTTGTTTCTTTCCAAGGAATTTCCCTCATATTTGGGCATGCTGATACTTGCCAGATAAACTGAGAAATACTTTATGAACAGCTACAATGATTGTACTGAGATAAACCTTGTTGATTAACACAACCTATAACACTGTCTATTTTCAGATAAATTGTTTTTTTCATCATTCAACAGCAATGTCCTAGCCATGAATCTCTAGGTATGGGTAGCAGTTTTTTAAGCCACTACTTTTTATACTGACCTCTCCGGCATGTCTCATTAGGATCTTTTACTGTTTCTTGCTTCATGTCCTTCCAGATATGATTCATAACTATTCTGATAAATTAAGGAAACAGATGGGAAAGAAAAAAAAAAAATTAGCAAAATGCACAAAGGATATGTAGACGGTCATACTTAATCAAGTCTTACAATTTGCTGCTGATTTACTAGAGGACAGCATCTCAGCTAACGTTTATAAAACCTTCATTAGGTCCTAGTGCTTGAATACTAAAGCTGAGCCAGCCTCACCCGTTGTGAAACACAAACACTTTACCACAAAATATGACCAGTGGTACAGGACAGATGAAATGATCTTTTAAACTCCTCTTTATACAGCCTTCATAAAACTAATGGCATTGAGTATGGAGGATCACACTTCAGAAAATACCTGAACCTAGAAGAGAAGTCCAAATTCAGATTTTATATGTTTTATCTGAGACTAAAGATAAAATGAAAATGGGGAGAAGCAAGAGACAGGTTTTCACTGTTCTTCATATTTAATAAATTAAGAAGTCATGGCTTTAGATTTCAGTAACAAGGACTCCAAACCATGTTGCACATTGAGGACATCCCCTGGATGTCCCAGCAAACACTGGAATTGGTGGCCTGAACATGCTGATGACTTTTAGACACGAGTCTTGCCAGGAGTGACGCAGGAATAGCAGGCCTTATCTCGGGACAGGGAATTAACTAAATGACTCAGTGAGTCTCTCCCCATTCTGCTTTTCTGTGATTTCATATGTATCTGAAATCTTTTTATTTTGCAAAGAAAACTTTTCCTACTGTTCCACCTGTAATTTTTTATTCTTGCTGTGTTACACATAATGTTGAAGGTCCTAATTACTGAAAACCCTGAATCCTCTCTAAGGTTTAATATATTCTTCAGAGCAGGAACATGTGAATTTTTGTCTATACAGCATCACCAGTTTTCAGGCATTAAAAAGTAACTTTATAGTACATTACTCTCTTTCTCTCCCCAGTCTGCCCTTCAGCAGTTAGAGAAAAACACAACCCAGATTTTCTCACAACAAATCTGTTGGTGACAGCTTGATCTTCAAATACTTGCTTGTCTTTATCAGTATATATGAGAAATTATCACAGTTCAGTAAAAGGTCCTTTGTGCTTTTTTTTCCTTTTTATGTAAGACTTGATCATGATAAAATCATATGGTTTTCAAGTATATTCTACTCACATGAGCAGTTGCACATTTGCTTATTTAATATAAGGCACTCCTCCCTGAATATTCCCGAGAATCCTGGTATTCAGAGCTTTTACCATTCAGGAGAGTCCCCTCTTACTCTGGAGTTAACTGCATCATGTACAGTTTGACAGAGCTTGGCCACAGGGTTTCTTTTTCAAATCCCAAAAAAACCCACAAGCTATAGTCCTGGTTCATTGCTTACTACTTCCACTGTCATTATCAGATAAAAGCAAACTGGACTAAGGACACGTGTATCACCAATCTGTCAGAAGTCTCTGACAAGTTAAGATATCACGATGTGGAAGAAATAACTAAGAAAGGATTCTTTTTTTTAGTGCCGAAGCTTTAGGCATCAATTTATTTGAATATAAGTTTCTTCTTCACTAAATGACTAGACAGATTTATTTAAATCAGAGAGCTGTGCACACCCTGAGAATGGAGTCAGATGAAACTACAAGAGAGACTGCATTCCAGGACCAAGCAACTCCTCTCTAGTTTTTCCACCACTGAGCTAAAGACAGGAACCTCTGGCAATGAATGACCAGAACAGTCAATGGCAGCGTTTATCTCTTAAAGAGGTGGTTACACCTGACAGACTGAAAATCTAAGCACTCAAAAGAAAGTTAATTTTATTTATTCAAATATCTAGAAGCCAGATTCTCACCTAGAACTTCTGCTGAACTGCAGATAGTTACACAGGAATTTTTCAACCACAAGTCCGCCTCAAAATTAGGACTAAATTATCAAATACATTTTTAGTGCAATTAAAAGCCTCCAAAAACACGATGGGGGATAGGCAATCACTTTTTCTACTGATTCAACCTCTCCCGTCCATGCCTTGTTAGTGCACACTTACACAAGGACAACCCCCAGGGTACCTAAAACCTCACATAGGTTGCTGCATCCAAGGAAAGGGACTGAACACATGACGCCTTCCCCAGCCCATCAGTTCCAGCTCTACTCATAGTCCAGGCAGCTGAAACGGCTCCTATTCCATTATGGTTGAATAAATAAGCTGCTGTTATATTGCCACAGGTTGCGTCTGGTGTTAGGAGGTAGGAGAGGCTCTGCAAAGCAGTGGCAAGTGCACCCAGGGCACAAGGAAGAATAGCAGCAATCAATGTTTCAAAAGTACAGGGCCAAACAGGCTGAATAATCTCCCTTGTAAATTAAATCTCATTTCTTTTCCACATGTGCCTTTGCATTTATGTTAAATACTACATGAACATTAGTTAATGGTGTCTCCCATATACAAATACAGCCATTTTAAATGTCTTCCATTCTATGCATCTTAGCACATAGTCTTTAAATTTTCCTGTACTGGAACAAATCAAACCCACATGGTCAAGCAAAATTCATACAGCAATCTCACATTTTTTGCAGGATCTTTGTACCCAAGCAACTATGGCAGTCTTGAGGCATTTCACCATTAAGACCTCTTTCTTATCACTGATGTCCCGAAAGTATTGTAACAATACCTAAAACTTATTTCTAAATATTTCTAAATATTCAAAGGTGATTAATTTGCCTTATACACTTTTCAATCTGAAATGTACATTAGTATCTATCTCCTACACAGATATTCACTAAAAGAAAGCACTCTACTGTACATATTCTCCCTTTAGCTCATGTGAATAGTCAGCTGTAAGGAAGTTATTCTATTATTAATTTTATTAAAACATGAAAACAGACCTTTGCCTAGACATGTTACTTTGAACTCTCATCCCAGGATTTTCTCTCCTTTGATTATATACTTACAACCACAGAGTCCATTCAAGCTTTATTAAAACATAATTTCACCAAAGTGAAACCTAACTGGGCTATTAACCTAGTAAAAGCATTTTTCATATGTACATTCAGAGTTAGTGCCTGCCATGCAAGATGACTTGTGCCTAGTGCCACCTTAAATCTAACCTTCCTGAAGCCACTCAACTTGGCCCACAGCTCTGCCAGCACAGGCCCAAGGAAAGCCAGGGTAAGCCAGCTTTCTGGTTTTCTACACTGTATTAGATCATTTTGTCTTGTTAGTAGAAATGAGACAAGGGCAAGGCCCATCTGGAATTAAATTTGGACCAAGATGTCAAAAACAAAAAGAAGAATGTCTCTAAATACATAAGTAATAAAAGGAAAAGTAATAAGATGCAGAGAAGGCAAAGCTACTCAATGCCATCTTTCCACTGGTCTTCACTAACAAGACCAGCCCTCAGGAATCTCTGACCCAGGAGATCAGGGTAAAGCAATATTGGAATCAAGACTTTTCCTTGGTCAGGAAGGATTGGGTTAGAGAATACCTAGGCAAATTCAACATACACAGGTCCATACACACTCCAAAAGTGCTGAGAGAGCTGATGGACATCATAGCTGTGTTCCTTATGTTCATCTTTGAAAGGTCATGGAAAATAGGCTTGGTGCCTGAGGACTGAAGAAAGCAAATGTCATCTCACTCTTCAGACAGGGCAAGAAGGAGGGTGCAGGGAGCTATCAGCCAGTCAGCCTCACCTCAGTCCCTGGAAAGGGGATGGAGCACCTCATTCTGGAGGCCACCTCTATCCACAGGGAAGAAAATAAGGTGATCAGGAGCAGTCACCATGGATTCATTAAAGGCAAATCATGCTTGACCAACCTGATTGCCTTCCACAACTAAACAACTACCTGGATGGATGAGAGGAGAGCAGCAGATCTTGTCTACCTTGACTTAAGGCTTTTCACACTGTCTCTAACAATGCAAACAACAGGCAAACTCAGGAAGAGTGGACAGGGAGGCAGATTGAGAACTGGCTGAACAACAGATCCCACATCAGTGGCACAGGCTCTGGTTGGAGGCTGGTCACTCCTGGTGTCCCCCAAGGCTCGGTAGTGAGCCCAGTCTTGTTTAATTTATCCATTCATTCAATGACTCAGGTGAAGGGGCAGAGGCCTCCTCAGCTCCTCCTCCTCCTCTATTTGGCCCTGGTGAGGCATCATCTGGAGTGCTCTGTCCAATACAGGGCTCCTCAATACAAGACCAGGAACTCCTGAAGACGTCCAGCAGGGAGTTACTAAATTGATCAAGAGTCTGGAGCATCTCTTGTCTGAGGAAAGGCTGAGAGAGCTGGGCACCTTCAGCCTTAAGAAGGGACGACTGAGTGAGGACCTCATCAATGCCAAGAAGACAGAGCCAGACTCTGCTCAGTGGTGCCCAGCAATAGGAAAGGCAAAGGGCAGAAACTGATGCACAGGAAGTTCCACCTGAACATGAGAAGAATTTTTGTACACTGCAGGTGACCACACACTGGAACAGGTTGCCCAAAGAGGTTGTGGAATCTCCCTTGCTGGAGATATTCAAGTACCATCTGAACACACTCCTGCGCCATACACTCTCAAATAGTCCTGTCTGAGCCAGAATGCTGGACCCACTGGTCCCTTCCAACATTACCTTCAGTGGTTTTGTGGGGTTTTTTTCTGTACAAAGCAGCATGGGGTGCTGCTGTTGAGAAAGGAAGTGTAACCACCTACTTGTCTGCTCAAGATGTAAAGCCGCAGATGGAAATACCAGCTAGTCATTTCAGTTCACCTTAGTAGAGCAGTCCTGAGGCCAGTTATCAGTATTTGGACTACTGCCTGCTTCCACGAGTCACCGGGGAAGCGCACTGACAAAACAGGGTCCGGCCACCGCCACCTTCCCCCCGGGACTCCGCCCGTGTTAAACCGCGTTATCTCCCGTACCCCCGTGTAAAACATTAAGGACGGGTTTTGTTGGAGCCGGCGGGATCCGGCGTCTCACGAGACAGCGTCTCGACTGAATAATTTAAAGCTCGTAAGGGATCAGCCTCACGGGCAGCGAGGCGCCGCACCCCTCACAAGCTCTGCGGCGCCGGGCCCGGCCAGGCGGGCCCAACCGGTTTGTGGCGGCTGCGGCTCTGCCGGCCCGAACGGCGGCGGCGGCGGGTCCGCCCCGGGGCGGGGCGGCGAGGCCGGAGCGGGCGGCCCGACCTGGCCCACTGGTGGCGGAGTGCCTTGAGTCGTGCTGCCCGTGCC